ATTCAGGATGTGATACATCCGTGGTACCGGGTATGCGTCTCGTTATGAGTGTTCCTTAAGCTGTCTGTAGTCGACGCACAATCGCCATTGCTTGTTTTTCTTCTCCACTATTACTACTGGGGAGCTGTATGCTGAGTGGGATGGTTCTATGAGGTCTTGAAGATTCTGTGTTTCGCTAAGTGACTGACTCACTTGACTTGTTTCATTAAATGTAGTTCCTTTTTGAGAATTTCTTGGATCGTCTCTTCTGTGAGATCGTCCGTTGTGAGGGTTTCTTTTGTTGGTTTCTTTTTTCTTGTTTCTTCTTTTTTGTTCCGATGTTTGCTGTAATACCTCCACATTGAATGGTAGGATTGCATTGTTGTAAGAAGTCGACTCCCAGGAGCAGGTTTCCAATAACTTCGTCTAGGATTAATAGTATGACTGTTTTGGATAGGGTTCCTAGTTGGATCGGTACTTCTAGCGCTTCTGTTACGGTTCTGTTTGTTCCGTCTGCTAGTCTTATAGCTTCAGTTACTCGTTTTCGTGTTCTGAGTGTTGCTATTTCGTTTGCGAGTTCTCTGCCTATAAAACTTCTCGTGGCTCCGGTGCCTATCGTACCTTCTACTCTCCTGGTGCCTATTCTAACATGTGCAAGTACTCGCCTATTCCTAAATTCTATCGCTGTTGCGGGTTGTCTGTCGGTCGTCTGGGCCCTGGGTACCCGCTCTCGTTTCCCGAGTTTTCCTGTCTGCGGCAGCAGTGTATTGTCCGATTTCCGTCCTGTCCACAAACCCAGCAGAACAGTCTTGGTGGGTTGTTACATCTCCGTGCTGAGTGTCCCATCATTTTGCATCTTGAGCATCTATTCTTCATGTCAAAAGTTTCTATCATTCCTCTGTTTAGTGGCTGGGTTGGTTGTTGCGGTCTCCAGTAGTCTCTTGTCTGGTATTGTGTTCTTTGTGGTGCTATGTTTTCTTGTTTTTCTTCTGATTCTTCAGCTTGGAGTGCCTCTGCCAGTCGGAGGTATTCCATTAGTGATTTGCATTCCAATTCTACTCGACTGTTTCCGTAGATCCATTCTAATTTGCTGTTCTCTGTGAGTTTTGTGAACCTCATAATTTTCCGCAGTTCTCGTGCGAACTCTTTTGCTAGCTCATTTTTTCCCTGATGCCTGCGTGTTATTTGTTCCATTTTTTTCTCCTCGTGGTCTGCTGGCTTGAAGTATTTCAGAAATTAGTTTTTGAAACATTTCCATGATGTCATCTCTTTCGGGTGGGTGTGCCACCAGTCCAAGGCTCCATCTTTTAGCAAGATTACCATAGCTCCTACTGCTTGGTCAGTTTCTAGTCCGTACGCTTCTGTTAATTCCTCTATCCCGTAGATGAATTCGTCCGGGTCCCCGGTGCCGTCGAATTCCCCTCTCCAGCTACGTATGACTCCCATTGTGGTTATTTTGTCCATTGTGTTCCTTATTGGCGTTGGTGACGGCTTGCTGTCTTCTTGGGTCTGGTTGTTGGGTTTATTTATGTCTGTTGGTATCTGTAGTGTCAATTGGTGCCCTCGATCTATGTTCCTTTTTATGCTACCCGATGCCTCGGGTGTTGGAGACGGATTTCTCATGTGTTTTTGGGATAGTTCCAGTAGTCGTCTTGTTGTTTCTTCGTCGTGGTCCTTTCTTGTGAATTCAGACATCTTTCTTCGCATATCTTCGCAAAGGGTTTCAGGCTTAATGTTGAATTCTCTGAGATATTTCTCCAGTTGGGATTTGTTTATGTTTGTTATCCACCCTCTTGTTATTTTTTTCAGCCGTTGTGTATTTTTTTTTTTGGCTTCGGAAGGGGGTAAACGAACTTGGTTGTTATAAGAGGAGGCCACTGTCTCTTGTCTGAACTGTTCGGGTGCCACTGTAACGACCCTGTTCCGGGAGGCGGTATAGCTCGCCGATGGCCAGGGTTCGAGACAGAATTTCCTATCTAGTTTGGCCCCTCTTCAAGATCGGTTTACCTTCTCCTTTCCCAGAATAACTCGAGGGGGTATTGCGGTGTCGAGGGTGTCTTCGTATATTTTCTCTTATGCTTAACTATTATTACAGGGGTATTGATGATGGTCGGGTATTTTGGGGTTTTTGTCGTATATTTGCTTATCCTGAATTATGTCTAAGGGGTATTGATATAGTCTGGTTTGGTCTCTCGGCGCTCTGGCGGGCCGAGAGGTGTTGAGCCGGTGTTTGTGTGGCACTCGTGGTGGGCCAATGAATATGTCGACGTCCGGTGCTGCTGGAGGGCCGGGGCTACGTTGATGTCCGGCGCTGCTGAAGGGGCCGGGGTGACGTCGATGTCTAGCGCTGCTGAAGGGTCGGGGCGACGTCGAGGTCCGGCGCTGCGGAAGGGCCGGGGTTGCGTCAGTGTCCGGCGCTGCTGGAGGGCCGGGGCGACGTCGATGTCCGGCGCTGCTGGAGGGCCGGGGCGACGTCGATGTCCGGCGCTGCTGGAGGGCCGGGGGACACGTTTATATCCGTTGCGGCTGAAAAGCCGGGTACTCCGTGCGGCAGAAGAGCCGGCTTAATTTCTACGGCTGAAGAGCCGGGTGCTCCGTGCGGCAGAAGATCCGGTTTGGTTCCTACGGCTGGGACGCTGGATCTGTTACTGCGGCTGAAGGTATTCCGCTATCGTGTTCTGTTTGTCCGTCAGGGGGAACGCTCTACTTAGGTGGGGTCATGCAGCAGGAGTCCAATGCTACTCCGCTTTGCTCCCGGGTCGGAAGCCGGGGCGTGACTTTTAGAAAGAACTCTCTGAGCTGGGCTGACTGATAAATTACACTGGACTCAGAGATATTGACCAGTAGATCTGGTAAAACATCGATAGTGACCCCATCGATGTTTTCGAGGTTTTTTTCGGGAACCATCGATACTATCGCGATGATATCGAATTAAACAAATTTTGAAATATAAAGTTTATTCTTTATGAAAAACCCAAAACAGCCGGGGTATTCCTTATAAATTCGATTTTAATAAATTTAGAATTTTAGTTTTTTGTGTTATATTTATTTTTCCATTTAATTCACTTCATTTGTCAAACTTAATATTTTAAAAGTATGTCCGCGCCAAGACGGGACACTTCTTTATGGCAGTGTAACAATTAACAGACCAGAGAGCAGTTCTCTCCAGATGATCTCTCATCTCGCTCTCTTGGTCTGCTAATTGTCTCCACACCGCTCTGCCGCCCTCTCCTGGGTTTACATCCAGTTAGTGTAAAAACTAAACTTCGGCAATAAAGTGCATATTTTCAAATTCAAAACCACAGTGTTATATTTCCGCGACGCGTAAGTTATAATTTCCGTTTCGAGTTCTTAAAATCCAGAAGGAAGTCCACCCCCACTGCACAAAGTAAAATAAAAATAAAAAGAATATCCAAAAACAAAAAAACGTTGCTTCGTTAGTAGCGATCCAGCCGCTAGACTTGAGATCTATCTTATATATTAGATTCGGTAATCCACCAATTTTTATTGATGAACAGGAGCTGGTCAACTATGTTTGACTTTAGTGATGACCTGCGCGGAAATTATTTGGCCTGCCTTCAAAAACATCCTCTCAGACTCCGTTGAAGTTGCTGGGACACACAAAGCTTTTTTGGCCAACTTCGCCAAAGCTGGCTGGTCACTTTCATTGCTCTGTAAAACATAACAAATTTGTTTCTTACCGCTTAGCTGCGAAAACACAAGAAAAGTAGTGGTGGAACGCGACGGCGATACTATCGTGATAGTTTTCAAACCATCGATAGTGCAAGCTGGCTCCTTACCATCGATGGTACCATTTGCCAGCTCTATTGACCAGGCCAAAGGTTGATTATTACTAACCAGACCGGGCGTAGGTGATCCTTCCTAGGTCGCGAGCCGAATCAAGATCCGTACTCTGCGGAAAACCACCACCAGAAATAGTGAACAGAACACTTACCCCTTTTTGACGTTGCTCGATCAATCGCCTGAGCACAAGTGACTGGAATGAGGACATGGCACTGCTTATATAGGCCACAGATGGTAATTAGTGTGCCCAAATAGCTGGTGGGATTATCCCACGATTACCGATAGTCGTCGATCGTTATTGATGGACCAGGACTGCGTAGACAGTTATAGATATCTATCGTTTTATCAGGGTTGCATATATAGTTATCGATAGCTTGTTTAGGGCTGTGTAAACAGTAATCGATTGCCCGCGCATTTTGAAATAAGAGCGTTTTATTGTGTTTGGTTTGGTTTATTTATTATTTTATTGTGGCGGCGGGCCGTCACAACTCATCTAAGTCAAGAACCCTATCCGCTTCTCCTACAATTTTGCTTCTTACTGCCCTAAGAGCAATTACTCCTGCATTCGACCTTTCTTCGCCCTTGACGAGGCTTAGGATTTGCTCCACTGCTCCTATAAATCCGTCTAATTTCCCTGCATCTCCTTCATATTTCGGAATTATATCCACCAGGTCTATTACCTTGATAGCCTCCAACACGTTAGTTGTTGCCATTCTTGTCGGCCTGTTCTCGTCTGTCATACCAACTCTTAATGTTTCTTAATGTTTCTCTTTTCCTTCTTTTTATTCCTATTCCGATAATACTCCTCGACTATACTTGCTTCGTATTCGTCTTCTCTGCTGTTGTCAATATAATTCCTTACTTAAGGTGTCTATTGTGTACGTGTACTTAGATCTCTATTGTGTGCTTAGTTTACTGTGTATATAATTGTGGAATATCTGCTTCTTCTGAGTGTTTATTGTGTCTCTCTGGGAGTTTTCGTGGGGTGGAATGGAGGAAATTTTTCCATTAATTTCTCATGTAACCCACTTCGACACTAATATTTTTTTATTTAGTTCTATCCACCCCCATGTTACACGGCCGCCCTGTGCTATACAGTACGCCGTCTAATACATGTGAATGGACAGATTTTGCTCTTGTGCTGAACTCCTGTCCTCTACATCGACACTCTACTGTCTCGGAATCAATCCAACCTTTGGCTTCCCTATTCGTATAAGTTAGAACTTGCCGACAACCACCGGCAACCGTCGCCAACTCAACCCGAGCTGCTTGCAAGCGCCCGACCGTAGCCGAACGATCGTCCCACCGAGCTGTTCGGTATGCATCGAACCGTCGACAACTACACCCGTCTGCCGACTCTCGTCGACAGCCGACCGTTTGATCAAGCCGTTCGATGCAACTTCGAACCACCGGCACTTTCGCTCGTTCGCCGACGTTCGCACACCGGGCCCTCGTCGGACTCGAACCCTCTTTTTAGCTTCTATACGATCATTATTTAATTAATTAAACTCTCACTTGCTCTCAGCATTTCCTTTTTATTCACTTTATTTAATTTTTTGAACACCTTGTAAGTTATTTCGTAATCACTGACTCCCTATTTCCTTTGCACTATTCCTCTCAACTCAGTATTTTTGGCTAACTTTTCTGCCTCTCTTTTATTCATCAGCTACTTCCTTTATTTATTCGGCAATCACTGCACTGCTTGTAGCCTGAATTTTGTATTCACCTCCACTGGTTTTCACAAGGTATTTGCATTTTTCGTTTATTTATTTTTCTATTACTGCTGTGTCTCATCCATTTGATTTGTTTATATGTATATATATATATATATATACAAGTTAACACCGGCCAAGCGCCCCCTTCTCCTCATCGCCTCTCGACCCGGATACCAGACACCACGACTTCCCTCAACCAACTTGACGACCAGCAGAGACGCAGCAGAGACCAAACGACAGCGGCAGAACGACAGTGTAACGACAGAACGCCAGAATTGCAACGGCAGTAACGTGAGAATGGAGGAGCAGTGACCGCCGCTAGCTGCCTCAGCAATAGCTGCCGCTACCCTTCCAATCGCCGCGGCTAATCGAGTATCTTCCGAAGTTTAGCAACACGTCAGCCCAAATATCCGGAAGCGCTGCTATCAGCAGCGCGACAATGGAAGGGCACTGACCGATCGCTAGCTGTCTCAACCATACCCCAGCCCACAAACGGAAATGCAACGCTAGCACCTGGAGTATGGCAACACTTTGGCCCAGAACCGCTGTTGTCAGCATCGAATTGCGGCCAGCTTATGCAGTCAACAAGCCACGCTAATTATATTTTAAGATCACTTCTATTTGTACCCCCCAAAGCAGCAAGTTGACCATTGGTGCACGAATAAACGATTTATAACGTTAAAGCTCATATTGTTTAATTTAACTTCATACAACAAAAATTCAAGACATAGAAGGAAGGACGAAGGAAGCTAGGACCACAAGGATGCAGATTACGCTCATTAGGTAATATTCAGGGGAATACTTCCCCTACTGGTCATGTCAGCCCATAAATACTGGTCATGTCTGGCCATAACTGGCGCCCGAACAGATTTCACTTTCTCTCGAAAGTGGGACCCAAGAACCACCCGACAAACAAAAAGAAAAGAAAAAATTGTGAAAATTTCGTTAATAATTAAAAAGTAAAATATTTTAATAAAAAGCGTTGTGCGTGTGCGTGTAGAAAGTGTAAATGGAAGTATAAAAATTTGTTGTGAACCACAATTACCCGCTGCGGTGAGGATGCTGCCATGTAGAGCTGGCATTCCCCACGGCCGCAAAAAAATTGTGAATAACTTAGTACCTGCCGCGGCGATCTGCCCACGTATCCTGTGACGCGGCATATTCGCGGGCAAAAGACACTAAGTAATATTAAGAAAAAGAAGCGATAATCCGCTGCGGCGATAAGTCCACACCATTGGGTAGCTTATTCGCGAGTGTAAAAATTGCAATTCTAATTAAATAAACACGGATAACCGCTGCGGCAATTAATTTGCGAGCGGAAAGATTATAAACATATTTTGAAGATAACGAAGAATTTGTGAAATGTTTCGTGTAAGTGGCAATCTGCTGGAAAGGCTAACGGATGTGGAATGCATTCAAAAAAAGTTGCCCAGTGGATTGTGTGGCAACCGTACCTTAGTAGGCGAAATGCCAAAATGGATAAATACGGACCACCACGCCGATAAACACAATTACACAAAATTAACAAAGAGAAAATACACGAAATTTAATAAAAATCGCACAACGCTCAAATGAAAAATTACCAAGTTTCTTTTATTATGAACAAAAGAGTAAACCACTTACTAATTCTAATCTAATTTCAAATAATAATCCTGTAGGAAAGAAAACGGATAAACATTGAAACAACACAAACTGAATAAAGGAGGAAAATACTGAGGGTAAGTGAAACGTTCCCACATACGCACAATTCCGAATTTACAAAAAAATAAAATAAATTAAATTAAAATATAAACTTTGTTTATGGGGAAGACAACCAATATGCCACCCTTGTAATTAAATAACGCACGAGTAGGTTAAGTTTATTAAAGTATGTTTAATTTGGAGTTGCAACTCTTATGTTTTTTCGTTTTTTGATATTTGCGCGAACAATGTATGCGAGATGAGTTGGTGTTTGATCTGAGGTGAGATAATACGAAAGCGCGACTTCTTTATACCGTCGCTCTGACGATTATAGATAACATGCATTGATAAAATAGATAAACAAAGAGAGGCTTGAAGAGCGGATTACAAATATGCAACTGCAGCGGCACACCTATGCGCACCAGATTAGGGGCTGGCTGTCTGCTCCGAACATACTCCCCCGTTGGAAGAGGTACGGTTCCAACTTGATGGGAATCGACGGGCAGAACGGCCACTTTGGCGACGGCTCTCTTGATGATGCCCGTAGCCGTACGGACCATAGCTACTCTGACGACGCCGTCCTCGCCGGGAATGACTTCCTGAACTCGTCCAAGCGGCCATTTTAATGATGGAATGTTGTCCTCCTTCAGCAACACGATGCTTCCGATCTTGATGTTAGATCCTTCAGAACGCCATTTGCTCCTTTCCTGAAGAAGTGATAAATACTCGTGGTCCACCTTCTCCAGAATAGTTGCTGCATTTGAGTCACAATTTGCCATCTGCTGAGGCGGCCTTCAAGGAGATGCGTAACATCCGGCTCAGGAAATTTGGTGTAGCTGGAACCCTTTAAGAAATGCGCAGGCGTTAGCACCTCAAGGCTTTCAGCGTTTTCTGAAATTGGACAGAGGGGACGAGAGTTAAGGATAGCAGAAATCTCGTAGCCAAGAGTTCTCAATTCATCGAGGAATAAGATGGATGGACCGACGACTCTGTAGAAGTGAAACTTGGCCGATTTGACAGCGGCCTCCCATAGGCCACCGAAGTGTGGGGCACGCGGAGGTATGAACTTCCAATCTATACCGTCCGCTAGGCACGAAGAAGCTATCGAAGCTGTATGCTGCTCGCTCAAAAATAATTCCTTCAGCTCGCCTAACTCGCTCTTGGCGCCGACAAAGTTAGTCGCATTATCACTCCAGATAGTTCGCGGAGTGCCTCTAAGGCTGATGAACCTTCTCAGAGCTGCTATGAAGGAATCTGTGGTGAGGTCCTGGACGACTTCCAAGTGAGCGGCCTTCGTGGAAAAGCAGACAAAGACGGCGATGTAGCACTTGTGCGGTGCCTTGTTCCGGGACTCTGCTTTATGATAGAATGGCCCACAATAGTCGACTCCTGTCGTGTGAAATGCTGGGTTAGGTTGAACTCGATTCGCTGGAAGATTACCCATGACGTGCTCCCAAGTCACAGGCCTCATCCGAAAGCATCTGACGCATTTATTGATGACGCTAGCCACGAACTTCCGACCTCCTATCGGCCAATACCTTTGTCGTAATGTGGCCAGCAACGCCTGCGATCCTGCGTGCATGTATTTTTTATGAAAATACACGATAATTGCTTTGGTGACTGGATGGTCCTTGGGAAGCAATATCGGATGCTTCATATCATAGTCCAAGTTTGCATTTTGCAGTCTTCCACCAACGCAAAGTAATCTATCGGTGCCAAGAATTGGCCTCAGCGAAATCAGTTTGCTCTTCTGTGGACACGGCTTGCTCTGGCTAAGAACTCCATACTCCTTGGCTAAATGAATCTGCTGGATGCTCCTTAGAAGAAGTACGGTCCCCGAGTTGATCTCCTCAACGGAAAGATGGCCATTTGAAAGTAGAGGCTTGGACCTGCAATTCGAAATAAATCGATACACGTACGCAAATACACGCTGCAACTTATCAAACGTGTTAAGGAATTTGCAGTTAACAGAAATGTCAACGCACACGGTTCCAATAAGAGTCGCGGCACGACGCTCTGGAAGATCTTTTGCTTCATCAAGCAAGGAAGGCCATTCCGATGAGTTTTGCAAAAGAAATGGAGGTCCTTTAGCCCAAAGAGAATGATCCAGCAATTCTTTAGGGGTACAGCCTCGCGATACGACATCCGCCGGATTGAGGTTGGTCGGAACATGATGCCAAGACATTCCTTTTGTCATCTCCTGAATTTTTGCGATTCGGTTGGATACAGAAACGTTGAAGTCCCTCGGAGGTTGCCGAATCCACGCCAATACGATAGATGAGTCGGACCAGCAATGAAAGGCACAATCGAGATCTATGGTTTCCTTGACGCTTACGATAAGCTCTGCCAATAGAAGTGCTGCTGAAAGTTCCAATCTTGGAATTGTTAAGGCCTTCAACGGGGCTACTCTCGACTTGGCGCAGATTAGATAAGCTTTTGTGCCTTCATTGTCCTCCGACCGCAAATATAGGCAGGCTCCATAAGCTGCTGTGCTAGCATCACAGAATCCATGCAACTGGATAGTTGCTTGCGGACGCGTTACGAATCGTGGAAATTTTAAATTCTGGACGATCGACAACTGAGAGGTCAACTCCCCCCATGACGAAAGAATGGGCTCTGGCAATGCGTCATCCCAATCCACACTAGACTTCCAAAGAGATTGCAAGAATATCTTAGATTTGGTAACAATTGGCGTTATTAACCCGAGTGGATCATAAAATTTGGCTATAGTTGACAATGCGATCCGTTTGGTGACTCTATTACTTGACGATATCTGAGAAAAATTAAACAGGAACTGATCAGAAGAAGGATCCCATGCTAGCCCCAATGCCTTGGCGATATCTGATCCATCATGAAATTTAATAAGCTGCTCTTTATCGCAGTCCGACTCTCCTTCGAGGGCAGCTGACTCATTCGAACACCATTTGCGGATTGGAAAGTGTCCTCGCGACAATACTCTCTTTACCTGACGACGAATTTCTCTCACCTCTTCAATCGTTTCGCCCCCCGAAATTAAGTCATCGACATAGAAATCTCTACGAACAATCTCTGATCCAATTGGAAATGACTCCTCTTCATCATAAGAGAGCTGATGCATGGCTCTTATAGCCAAGAAAGCAGCTGGCTTTGTTCCATAGGTCACCGTGTTTAGTTTGTAAACACTCAACTCATCCGATGAGTTTTCTCGCCAAACGATGCACTGCAAAAAATCATCCGGGTACGAAACACGTACGCAGCGGTACATCTTGCAGATGTCTCCACAAAGAGCTACTTTAAAGAATCTGAAGCGAAGCAAAATGTTAAAGATTTTTTCCTGAATGGTCGGCCCAGCAAGAAGTAAATCATTTAAGGAGGTACCAGAAGTCGTTTTAGCAGACCCATCAAAGACGACACGAAGCTTTGTGCTCGTGCTCTCATGCTTATGTACACAATGGTGAGGCAAGAAAAATTGCGGTACCGTTGGATCCTTTGCTGCGAGGGACATGTGTCCTAAGTTGATATACTCCTTTAGAAATGACGAATACTGAACCTTCAGGGCTGGGTTCCTATCTAGCTTAGCTTCCAAACTCTTGAAACGACGACGAGCCAGGTAATAGGAATCACCTAAAGATGCGAATCCTGAAGCGGACAAGAGGCGAACAGAGTATTGACCATTCTCAAGCCTAGTGCAGTTTTCCTTAAAAAGTTGTTCGCACCGCAAGTCCTCAGGCAACAAAACTGGCTTCGCAGACCTAACGTCTTCTATTTCCCAAAATCGCTTTACAATAGCAGTAAGCGTTTCATCTTGTTCACACCGCCAGTCCTCAGGGAACAAAACTGGCTTCGCTGAGCTAACGTCTTCTATTTCCCAAAATCGCTTTACAATAGCAGTAAGCGTTTCATCATCAGAATGATTGACTGGATCCTTAATAACAGCAGCTAAAACAGACTTATGATTTGAAATGCTTGACATCCCTCCAGAAACGATCCAACCAAGCTTGGTGTTCTGCAGTGTTGGCAAGTTGTCTTCCAAATGAAATTGCCCCATAGTAATTATTTCAAAAGAACAGACCAGCTCCAATTAAGAGGTCAATACGCTGTGAATCGTTGAAATGAGGATCCGCGAGCGAAATGTCCTTTGGAATCCTCCATCCTGCTGCATTTATGTCAAAATGAGGCTGATAGTCAGTGATACTCTGGGTCACTACAGCTGTGAATGCTGCACGATAGCCTGCATCCCGTGACTGCGCTAGAATATCAACTGCCCTATCAGCGCTCATGGAAGATTCTCCGATTCCAGAAACGAGTGTGAGCGATCGCCTGTGCTTCAAATTAAGCTGGTCTGTTCTTTTTTGCAGTGCATCGTTTGGCGAGAAAACTCATCGGATGAGTTGAGTGTTTACAAACTAAACACGGTGACCTATGGAACAAAGCCAGCTGCTTTCTTGGCTATAAGAGCCATGCATCAGCTCTCTTATGATGAAGAGGAGTCATTTCCAATTGGAGCAGAGATTGTTCGTAGAGATTTCTATGTCGATGACTTAATTTCGGGGGGCGAAACGATTAAGAGGTGAGAAAAACTCATCGTCAGGTAAAAAGTCTATTGTCGCGAGGACACTTTCCAATCCGCAAATGGTGTTCGAATGAGTCAGCTGCCCTCGAAGGAGAGTCGGACTGCGATAAAGAGCAGCTTATTAAATTTCATGATGGATCAGATATCGCCAAGGCATTGGGGCTAGCATGGGATCCTTCTTCTGATCAGTTCCTGTTTAATTTTTCTCAGATATCGTCAAGTAATAGAGTCACCAAACGGATCGCATTGTCAACTATAGCCAAATTTTATGATCCACTCGGGTTAATAACGCCAATTGTTACCAAATCTAAGATATTCTTGCAATCTCTTTGGAAGTCTAGTGTGGATTGGGATGACGCATTGCCAGAGCCTATTCTTTCGTAATGGGGGAGTTGACCTCTCAGTTGTCGATCGTCAAGAATTTAAAATTTCCACGATTCGTAACGCGTCCGCAAGCAACTATCCAGTTGCATGGATTCTGTGATGCTAGCACAGCAGCTTATGGAGCCTGCCTATATTTGCGGTCGGAGGACAATGAAGGCACAAAAGCTTATCTACTCTGCGCCAAGTCGAGAGTAGCCCCGTTGAAGGCCTTAACAATTCCAAGATTGGAACTTTCAGCAGCACTTCTATTGGCAGAGCTTATCGTAAGCGTCAAGGAAACCATAGATCTCGATTGTGCCTTTCATTGCTGGTCCGACTCATCTATCGTATTGGCGTGGATTCGGCAACCTCCGAGGGAGTTCAACGTTTTTGTATCCAACCGAATCGCAAAAATTCAGGAGATGACAAAAGGAATGTCTTGGCATCATGTTCCGACCAACCTCAATCCGGCGGATGTCGTATCGCGAGGCTGTACCCCTAAAGAATTGCTGGATCATTCTCTTTGGGCTAAAGGACCTCCATTTCTTTTGCAAAACTCATCGGAATGGCCTTCCTTGCTTGATGAAGCAAAGGATCTTCCAGAGCGTCGTGCCGCGACTCTTATTGGAACCGTGTGCGTTGACATTTCTGTTAACTGCAAATTCCTTAACACGTTTGATAAGTTGCAGCGTGTATTTGCGTACGTGTATCGATTTATTTCGAATTGCAGGTCCAAGCCTCTACTTTCAAATGGCCATCTTTCCGTTGAGGAGATCAACTCGGGGACCGTACTTCTTCTAAGGAGCATCCAGCAGATTCATTTAGCCAAGGAGTATGGAGTTCTTAGCCAGAGCAAGCCGTGTCCACAGAAGAGCAAACTGATTTTGCTGAGGCCAATTCTTGGCACCGATAGATTACTTTGCGTTGGTGGAAGACTGCAAAATGCAAACTTGGACTATGATATGAAGCATCCGATATTGCTTCCCAAGGACCATCCAGTCACCAAAGCAATTATCGTGTATTTTCATAAAAAATACATGCACGCAGGATCGCAGGCGTTGCTGGCCACATTACGACAAAGGTATTGGCCGATAGGAGGTCGGAAGTTCGTGGCTAGCGTCATCAATAAATGCGTCAGATGCTTTCGGATGAGGCCTGTGACTTGGGAGCACGTCATGGGTAATCTTCCAGCGAATCGAGTTCAACCTAACCCAGCATTTCACACGACAGGAGTCGACTATTGTGGGCCATTCTATCATAAAGCAGAGTCCCGGAACAAGGCACCGCACAAGTGCTACATCGCCGTCTTTGTCTGCTTTTCCACGAAGGCCGCTCACTTGGAAGTCGTCCAGGACCTCACCACAGATTCCTTCATAGCAGCTCTGAGAAGGTTCATCAGCCTTAGAGGCACTCCGCGAACTATCTGGAGTGATAATGCGACTAACTTTGTCGGCGCCAAGAGCGAGTTAGGCGAGCTGAAGGAATTATTTTTGAGCGAGCAGCATACAGCTTCGATAGCTTCTTCGTGCCTAGCGGACGGTATAGATTGGAAGTTCATACACTTCGGTGGCCTATGGGAGGCCGCTGTCAAATCGGCCAAGTTTCACTTCTACAGAGTCGTCGGTCCATCCATCTTATTCCTCGATGAATTGAGAACTCTTGCCTACGATGTTTCTGCTATCCTTAACTCACGTCCCCTCTGTCCAATTTCAGAAAACGCTGAAAGCCTTGAGGTGCTAACGCCTGCGCATTTCTTAAAGGGTTCCAGCTACACCAAATTTCCTGAGCCGGATGTTACGCATCTCCTTGAAGGCCGCCTCAGCAGATGGCAAATTGTGACTCAAATGCAGCAACTATTCTGGAGAAGGTGGACCACGAGTATTTATCACTTCTTCAGGAAAGGAGCAAATGGCGTTCTGAAGGATCTAACATCAAGATCGGAAGAATCGTGTTGCTGAAGGAGGACAACATTCCATCATTAAAATGGCCGCTTGGACGAGTTCAGGAAGTCATTCCCGGCGAGGACGGCGTCGTCAGAGTAGCTATGGTCCGTACGGCTACGGGCATCATCAAGAGAGCCGTCGCCAAAGTGGCCGTTCTGCCCGTCGATTCCCATCAAGTTGGAACGGTACCTCTTCCAACGGGGGAGTATGTTCGGAGCAGACAGCCAGCCCCTAATCTGGTGCGCATAGGTGTGCCGCTGCAGTTGCATATTTGTAATCCGCTCTTCAAGCCTCTCTTTGTTTATCTATTTTATCAATGCATGTATTATCTCACCTCAGATCAAACACCAACTCATCTCGCATACATTGTTCGCGCAAATATCAAAAAACGAAAAAACATAAGAGTTGCAACTCCAAATTAAACATACTTTAATTAACTTAACCTACTCGTGCGTTATTTAATTACAAGGGTGGCATATTGGTTGTCTTCCCCATAAACACCGACCATGATCCTTTACTGCGACTATCTTATACGGCCCTAGAAACTTTCCCTTAAGCTTTAGCCCGACTCCGTACTGAGTTCTTTTAATCGCTACCACATCATTGATCTTATAAATTCTTTCTTGTTTACGTTTCATATCAAAAGCTTTCTTGTTTTCGTCTTGAAGTTTTCTGATGTTCTCTCGGGCTTGTGCACGGTATTTCTCTCGATCTTCATCCAGTTCCTTAATCGGAAGCTCCTGCATCAAGTCCTTTAATTCGTTACAGCCGGCTAACCGCATCTCAACTCCAGTTAGAAGTTTGAATGGCGTGATGTTTGTGCTTCTTGGCTCAGTGCTGTTAATGATCTGTTAAACTTGTTCCACGTATTTATACCAAACAACTGGACTTTCGTAGCTTAACTTTGCAAGCATTGGCACGACGAGCTTATGAATCCTCTCAACCTGGCCATTTTCGCGTGGTACACCTGTCGCTATAATCAGGTGTTGAATGTTGTGTGATTCACAATACTCCTTAAAGGCTGCGGATGTGAAAGCTGTGCCTCTGTCCGACACTATACGACACGGATTTCCAAAATGTAGGGCTTACTTATCTTGACAGCTCAAAACTTCCTCAACACCAGTGCTACGAGTCGGGTGCAGCCAAACGTACTTAGAAAAACCATCCACTACGACAAAAATATAATTGTAACGCTGTGCTGTCATATCCATGGGTCCGACGTGATCGACGTGATAGGTTATGAAGGGTTTATCGCCTTTGTCAATTGAAGTTAGAAATCCCTCCTTCTTGCCTGCCTTTGCATTTACGATTATGCATCTGATGCAGCTTTCAACGACTTTCTCAGATTTTACTTTCAGCTTTGGAATAAAGTACGACTTTTCTACAAGGTCCTGCGTCTTTTTGGCAGAAAAGTGTCCTTGGTTATGATTGATCTGAATAATCTCATTCTCCATAGACGAAGGTACCACTATTAACTCACGGTTCGGGTCTTTAAAGAGCACATCATTCTGAATATAAAAGTCCTGGTATGCATCCCTTTCTAGAAGACTCCTTACTGCTTTTGTCCACTCGTTGTTGATCTGTGCTTTCTTTAAGCGATGAGTAATTGATTCGGACAAATAGTAACACAAGGCTCTACTTAATGCATCGGCATGCTTCATTTTCGACCCTGAACGATGCTCGATCTTGTAGTCGAAGTCCTGCAAGTATAAGGCCCAACAAGTTAATCGGAGTGGAACTTCCTTCTTGTTCATTGTCATCTTAAACGCGTTACAGTCAGTTACGATAGTAAACTTCATGCCTAAAACATAAAAACGCCATTTGACTAGAGCTCCAATAATGGCCAATACTTCTAGCTCGTATGAATCGTACTTTTCTTCAAAAGGAGATGTTTTACGACTGACTTTAAGTTTACGAACGCAAGTTGCTGAGCTTCTCCGAATACGAACTTTGAATCGCCACTCAATAGATCTGACAACGGCCTGGCTATGGATGCATATCCGTTAATGAACTTTCTGAAATAGGAAGTAAGACCTAGAAAACGCTGAATACCCTTTTTTATACCATTTTCAATGATATAGCCTAAGAACTGCACTTTGCTCTGCAGTATCTTGCATCCAATTGATTCTTAAACCGTTCCTAGATGCGACTTGCAAAATGTTTTTTAGCTTGAAAAGTCCTTCCTCGAGGGAATATTTACGTCGTCCATGTATACAACGACAACATTAGTAGCGATGAGTTCTCTTAAGACGGCCATGATAAATCTTGTGAAAACTGCAGGAGAATTAGATATTCCAAAAGGTACATACAGAAATTCAAATTGTCCAGACTGGGTCACAAATGAGGTATACTTTCGGGAACCTGGTTCGATCGGAACGTGGAAAAATCCGTTTGTTAGGTCCAAAGTGGTGAATATCCTGGACCCCTGTAGCTTGTCAAGCACAGTCTCCATATGAGCCATCGGAAAATTGTCACGAACTATCTTTTCGTTAAGTTTGCGGTAGTCACAACATAGACGCTTCTTTCCATTTTTCTTAGACACCAATACTACTGGCGATGCATATTCAGAGGTGCTTGGTTGAATGATATTCTCAGTAAGCCACTCCTTTACTTGGTCGTCTACAGACCAGAAAGGTCACAAATAGGTAAACGACGCGGATGCTGAAAGACAGGAATTTCATCCTTCAGTATGATTTTCATGTTAACTGGCGCGTTTCTTTCAGGTGTATCAATCAAAACTTTGACCTTTAACTTCTGTGATTGATTTAAATGAGATAAATCTACTTGATCCGATACTGTCACCTGTTCTGAACACATGCCCTAAAAGCTTTCTAGGAAACAGGGACCGTAAATAATAATTACGAGTTTAAAAAAATTGAAGCCAAAACAGTCTCCAAAAAAATTGGAAAAAATTGTCATAAGTTAAATTTTCATGGCGAATTCAAAAACAAGATAAATGTTTTTTTTTTCAATTTTTACGAAAAAATTGATTTTTAATACTTAAAATTAATTTTAATAATAAAAAATTAGTAATAATTAATAAATATACATTTTTATATAAAAATTAAGCAATAACTTTTATTTTCAATTTTTATTATATAAATTGAAAAATAAAAATTATTCAATAACTTTTATTTTAAAAATTGAAAATAAAGATTGAATCTTTTGATCCGTAGAAGCCAGATCCAAAAAATATATATGTATATATATGATCTACACATCAATACCTTTCAGATGGTATGTAAAAAGTATGTATATATTTGTAAGATAATGGGATTATTATCATAAGTTTATTTGGATAGATATGTGGGTAAATGTTTACAAAAATGTTGATTATAATGATTCAAAGGCTTGGACAACAATTTGGCAACTGATTGGCGCGACTTGTAATTTAATCTCGATTAATAACACAGCCACACAAAAAAAATATTTTTTCGGGCCTGGTGGTCAGACCATGTTTACTATATGTTTTCGGGGTCGCTGAATCCGAATCCGAGGTCCAAAAAACCCCAGTACGTCAGGGTTCTGACATAACCTCAAAAAACCTCATACAAAATTATATTCGAGTCCGTGGGCCAGACTATGTTTATTATATGTTTTCAGGGTCGCTGAATCCGAATCCGAGGTCTAAAAACATATATATATATATACATACTTATTATATACCATCCCTGCAGTTCTGAATGTCCACTGTGGACTTTTGGCAATTAAGCAATCATGTGTGTAGGAAAGGAAAAGGGATATTCCTAAGTGTTCCTCTCTTTCTCACTCTTATAACACGAATCGTTGCTTGCAAACGACGGCGGCCCGACACCAAATTTGTCTTCTATTCTTTCGTTCGGAGAAAAATGAAATTGACCTGCGTCATTCTTTTAAGTAGAGCGTCGACGATTGGCTGTGAAATTACTTCACTTGTGCAACGGACAGCGGAAATGTTTAAAAATCATGTAAGTGTAACATTATGTTTTTTACTACAAACTTATTTAAATCTTTTTAGGATTCAGCCATACATATGTCCCATAAATTCGTTTGAAAGGTAAGTTTGCTTTAAATTAAAAAAAGTAATAAATAACATGTAATAATAAAAATATTTGTACCATAGATGGACGCAAAACAGCCGATGTCCTGCAAATACTCCACAGAAGTGGTAAACAAAAACTTTCGAATTTCATATTATTTATGTAGGGGAATGTTGTCAGGGTTGGGCCATTGTCAGAGTTGGGCCATCTCAATATTTCGAATATTCATTCTAGTACCTTCTGTTTGTGGGTGTCTAGAAACTTCTATCGGTCACTCGAAACTTTCCACGTGACTACTTATTTCGGGATTTCATTATACCCTTGCAGAGCAAAGGGTATTATAATTTTGGCCAGAAGTTTGCAACGCAGTGAAGGAGACACCTCAGACCCCATAAAGTATATATATTCTTGATCAGCATCACCATCTGAATCCAAATCCGCCTGTACGTCTGTCCGTCTGTCCGTCTGTCTGTCTGTCCGTCTGTCCTCCTGTCCGTTTCTGCCCAAACTAGTCTCTCAGTTTTAAAGCTATCTTGCTGAAACTTTATCAAAAGGTGTGTAGTTATTGCACGCAGTATATAAGTCGGAACGGGCCGGATCGGGCGACTATATAGGATAGCTCCCATACAAGAGATTGAAATACAAAATTCTAACGCCGTTGTTTTTGATCAGATCGACTTGATTTCTTCCACATGGCGTTTTATAGTTACTATTGAATTTCGGGTTAAATTTTATCGAAATCGGATAACTCTATCATATAGCTGCCATAGGAGAGATCAAAAAATACATATACAATTAATGGAAATTAATTGATAACGTCATTGTTTTTCATCACACGATTATGATTTTTTGAGTATCAGGTTTTTTAACTAGCCTTGGTTCATAAAAAAAATTTCATAAAAATCGGACAACTATATCACATAGCTGCTATAGCAAAGATCGAAAAATCTATATAGAATTAACGGAAATAAAATGATAACATCGTTATTTCTCATCAGAAAATCTTTTTTATAGAGCTTTTTATAGAGCTTTTTAACGACTCTTGAATAACAAATTAAATTTTATGAAAATCGGACGACTATATCATATAGCTGCCATATGAACAATAGTCAAAAATATGAAAAATTAATAGAAAAGTCGTCGTTGCTTCGATGTTGTTTAGCCTTTGTGTATGCTGTTCGAAATATTTGATGACTGCAAGGGTATATAAGCTTCGGCTTGCCGAAGCTAGCTTTCTTTCTTGTTTCTACGTGTCGTTGCCCTGTGAAAAATAAGTGCTCGAAAATGTTTTTTTAACCTGGCCGAAAAGGTGGAATAACACAAGATTACAACATGTCATCCACAAAGTGAGCATAAAAATACGTTATATAGGTGTTATACTACAAAATACTAAGATATAGTTTCATTGATATATATAGTTTGGCTATATCATACCATAATAGATTAATACCGCATGTCGTCAGGGTTGGGCCACTTTTGTAGTCAGGCTTGGGCCATCAAAATTTGTACATTTTATTCGTGTATTTTCGATTTTTGTTGTAATATTTAAGTTTTTTGTAG